TTAATAAAGTCTATAAAGAGGTTTCCATGTTTCTCAAGCTCGAGGTGTCGCATCACATCTCTCGACCAATGAGACAAAAACTCGACAGATTAAAACTGATTTACAATAATGCAAGCTGTGATGTAATAAATCAGAGTGCATCGGGTTCAGAAAGTCATCTAACTCAAACAGTGTTAAAAACAAACAGTTCAATAAACTGTCTTAAAGGTTCACTGTAGTTTTGGTAGAGAAATGTGAAAGTTGGAGAAGTGTACAGGTTCTGTGGTTTATGTTCATAACTCTAAACACAAAGTGTCTTCAGAAGAAAATGTGGTCCCTTGAAAACTGTTTTATGGTGGTGAGCCTGCAACAGTGAACTGTAACTCTCCTGGTAGCTTTGAATAAAGTTTGTGTATTTAGTTCAGAAAATAGAGCATAGCATTAACTACCAAATCTACATAGTCCAACTTTAAAGCGAAAGTTGTCCTCTGCTGGATGGAGACATTAACAGAGTCATGTCTGCACAAAACTCTGGAAACATCACTGAACCATGTCAGTCAACATGACATCATTTCTGTCCCTCCGCGTGTCAACAAATGCACGTTGTGTCTGCAGTTGCACCCAGAGCCCTTTGGTGGGCGCCAAAGTGCACCAAACATAACGCTGCTAAAAGCACAGTATTTAACTTCTGCCACAATCGAAATTCTAATACCTGAAGATGATGTTGAGGCTGGCGGGGAATCATGGGAGACCTCTTGAGTTCACAGTAGTCATGACGACCGGGTGAAACGACCTGAGGAACAGATTATGTTTACAGACGAGCTAATGTACCGAGTATAATTTACATGATGTTTTTTTATCACAGCAACAGGACAGCAACTTTCAGTAGCAACTCATGCTTTCTTATGCAGCGGTCTTTGATGTAACATTTGGGGTTTCCATGGCAACTAAACATGACACGACAAGAGACGTCCAGTTTCAACTCCAAAATGAAGGATTTTTCTGGTTTTGATAACTTTAGGGAATATTTGAGGAATTGTAATGTAAGTAAAAAACATGACATCAGGTTTAATAAATATTGAGATGTTTTAGTGTAAAAACATGTAAGGGCCTTAAGACCTCCTCAAACATTAGGTAACTACGTGCTGCTCTTTGTTAAAAGAGTCTCGTCATGGTTCACAGAATATTATCAAATGAATATTCTCGACTAATCCCGACCTTTCTGTCTTTAAGTCTTACTCAAAAGACTCTGGATAGAACATATGGAGTGTTTTGAAATAGTCTGAGTCTCTGCTCGGTGTGTGACTCAGTTACCGTCTGTTTGAACGTGACTTGTTGGTTTAGATTAATCCGGGGGGGATCAGACCTGCCACAGGACCATCACGGTGTCAGTGAGTTCTCTGACCTGAAGCGGCCTCATCATGAGATGACATGAGTCACACCGTGGTTTTAAGAAGATGATGAGGAGACTGCTCTCACATTGTGCTGGCAAGTTGGCAAACAGGAAGTAGTTTTCAGGTGGTCACAGTGAATAGAGGGATGCACAGCAGCAGGGATTTCTTATGTTTTTAAGGCATTCAAACAATCCATCAGACTGGATTTGTTTTTAAATTCCTGGTCTCTTCACTTTGTTCTGGGTTTCATTTAGTTCACATGAGATTTGAAGTTGGGTCCATTTCAGAGAACAGGCTGAAAGTCTGAAAACATTCTGTTCAGAGCTGCTGATGTTTTTTATTTTTATTGCTTTATCTTTTGGACTTTCTCTTTCAAACTTTCTGCAGTTTTCTAACGCCTGTCGAGTCGACGCTACGGCGCTCGCCTTTGACTTTTTACTAATGCTGGCGGTTACTTACTTTGGTTACTTTTTCTCCTTCCCTCTGAATCCTTGCTGGTCGCGACTCCAGTCACTAAAGTTCACGGTAGTAGATGGTGTCTCTGACTTCTTATCTCATCATTTCGTCTTCCATACATTTTTGCAAATCCCAATCGAGTTATTCTGCTCTGAGTCTGACGCGGTGCAAAACACCAACACTGGGGGGCGCTGTGGTAACTCTCTTCGGCTGCGCTGCTTGTTCTTCTTCTCTGTGTTCAATGGCGGCTCACTACTGCCACCTACTGTGTCAGACTGTGTAGGACTCTTAATAAGTAAATGAACGCCGTTGTTATTATCAGTTAAATTGTCACTTTCTGAATAATAATTCATCATAAAATATTCTATTATCACCGTGCGTCCCTCCTGCCTCAGCGGCTCTGGAGGTCTTAAGATGGAGCAGAATCTCATATTCTATAGTTTCTGATCTGCTGTCTAGTTCTGTGGTTCTGGTGTTCATGTACATAAAGCGAGCGTGATGGCGGTCTCACTGAGGATTACCTCGGGGTCCAGGCGGCGGTGGGAGGCGGCTGTACGAGTGTGTGTGCATTCAGAGTTAAGGGCGTCCAGTAGGAAACAAAGCACACAATGTATAAAGTGTAGGCCTCGATCGGAGCTGGAAGGGGCCATAAAGTACATGACAGACAAGGAATGCGGCCCCCAGAGAGAGAGACCCCCGAGGAGCTGAACCCCCCCCCCCCCTTCTTATCACACACACACACACACACACACACACACACTCATGTTCGTACCCTTTGGGGAGCGAACAATCCTCTCTTGCAATGCGGTCCCTAATCTCTTGCCACCAGACACGACTTTGATGTGAAGCCCCCCCCTTTAACCCCCTGTCCTTCATGTCCCCTTTCCGTGGGCCCCTCACTCTCTGCCCTCCATCCTTCCTCAGTTCTCCTAATTTATCTCACTTCCACCTTCGCTCGCCCTCTCTCTCTCTCTCTCTCTGCCTTTCTGAATCTTAAAGCTAAAAAAGATGCAGAAACAAACTCCTGAATTCAACGATGAGTTTTTAAAAAAATGATTTCTTTTTAAGTTAAAGTAAACATCGGAGCAGGTTAGCAGGTACCTGTTTTGTGTGTGTGTGTGTGTGTAAGGTTAAAGGTTTGGGGAAGTGAACTCGCTCACCTCTCTGCCTCTGAGTGAAGGGGGAGTCCCTCACTGATGAATCTGCATGGCTGTATCCAGTCAGAGTGCACACAGCTCTGCACACACTGAGAAAAACTGAGAAAAAAAGCTCTGCCACAAAAAAAACTCTGTGTGAGTCTGAGGTCTAAACCCACGACTATCCGTTAAGGTTAGGACACAATCTCATTTTTTAAAGGTTGAAGGACCCGTGCACAAGATACAGGAAGATTGCAGAATTTTATTTATTTGCAGAATCCAAGAAAAAGAATGATCATGTCCTCAGTTGTTAAGAAGAATTCATTTATCTGTTATGATAAAAAGTCGTTTCCAGAGAGAGCAGGCGGTGTCTTTCTCTCACTCATACGCTGACTTTATGGATATAATAAACCAAAAAGAGGTCGGGAATTATACTGGGTGGCCATGAATATTCCTGTTTGGCCCCCTGCATGTTCTGTGTGTTTGTGGGAAACCCCAAATAATCAAATATGTATTCCATTCCTTCTGGTATGGGATGTTTTTTTTTTCTGATGACACTGAAACGTCCTCTCTGAACGCCATCTTCTGCAGAGTTAATAAAACAAATGTTCCTCTACCTGTGACTCTCCCCCCTGTGTGTGCAGGATGCACCTGGTGGTCTCCTTCAGGGTGGGGTGGGGTGTGTGTGTGTGGGGGGTGGGGGGGGGGGGGGCAGAAGTGACGAGCAGCACTTTGAGTTGTCAGAAGACTAGAAAAGCGTTCTTTAAGCTCTTTAAGTCCATTTACTCACATGCATGCACCCTGACTGACCTGTGTACCTGCAGCTCTGTGTGGGCATGTCACATCCACTCATGGAGAACCACACAGGGCCGCCATGTTCCTCCCCGGTCCTTCTCTTTCAGGCACAGAGCGCCATTTCTGTCTTTTACAGGTTATGATCTATCTCCTCTAGAAAGAAACTAGGCTTAACCTTTTTTTGACAATCCTTTTCATTTTTGCATGAACGCACACACTTTGTTTAACCCATGCAGTATATATTTGTGTGATTGCATCTTGTTTATTTATCATGTGAAAGCATTTCAGTGTCCTTCATAAAAGTGAAAACGGCGTTCATGTTTGTTGACGGCTCGTTTCCTCGTCTGTGTCTCCTGCAGGTTTGAAAAGGAGTCAGGACAGAAAGTGGATCAGTCGACCGCCACGGCGATGCCTTCCAACAAATACTCTGCTGCCATCATCATGGAGGAGAGCAAGAACATGACCGCCACC